ATCATGTTAAATATTAGCCACTACCGGGAGCCACCATCAGTAATACTAACATACATTTATAACTGTCACTTTAGTGTTAGTTTTCATCGTTCCATTCCGTTTCCCTTTCTATCCTTTCTCAAGTCCCTTTAGTTGTTCCTGAGGGTTGTTAGCGTTAGTGGATCATACTAGGCTAATGTTGTGCGATAATTTGGGACACGTAACCTATTTGAATCATAATGGAATGGAGCAGGTTAAACCTGGAACCTGGCGCCCGGTTCATGACGACTGGACCGTTGTCATACAGTTCCATGATTAGTGAGGATTAAAGTAGATTTATAGATTTATTGTTCAACCCTTATTGTACACTTTTTCCACCTTCCAATATTTAATGGTTTGAACATGAATATGACAACTTTGCAGGATGAATCAAACCACTGTATTTTTGATTTATCAATATATTTAGTGGGTAAAGGCTCTCCAAACTTTTTTTTTATACATTAAAAACCCTAAAATGTGCCTAAATAATCTACAAGATCAGAGTATTTTTAAATCTACCAGTTGGTGCTGAAACAACATATATTTAGATGGCTTTCTTTTATTGATCCCTATATTCTGAACCCATTGTATTCTAGTGAGTCCTTTCAACAAAATTCTAATTAAAGGTACACCGTATTTAAAGGGATTGCTTACTGAAAAACGTATTGAATGAAAGATCCAAGAGAAAATCTATTGGCCAGCGAGTGGGAGGGTTTTCAGCGGTTTAATTAAATGTATTCAGCGCCTGCAAGGGAACTACGCCTCCAATGCCCGTTAAGCATCTGCATAAGATAAGTCTGAATACCAACTATTGAGAAGTGCGAAGGAAAGGCGTACATTTCCTAAATCGGAATTGGCCCCAAAGTGAATAGATTAGAAGTTGGGTAAGATTGGAAAACAAGTTGCAATCGGGATTCAAACTGGCAACCGTGTGGGTCACAATCCATGTGTAACACCCACCTCCAACCTACTACCTCTAAGCAGAGATGGGCAGTATTTCAATTACTTCTGAGTATTTAGTTAATTGTATTACACTGGGCTGAACTACACTCCAATGTATTTTATAACAAAATACTTTTCTATACCATTTTTTATAGCGGTTCACCATTTTGTGGCCCCCTTTCACCCTGCATTGGTATCAGAAGTCTGCTGGCACTATGGTGTGATAAGAGCGTCTGCTAAATGAACTAAATATAAAAACAAGGTTTTGTCTAGAAGGGATACAGTTTTTGTCAAAATTGACTTTTCGTAGCAGGTTTAGGAAAACTTACGCAACAGGTTAGGAGAATTAACTAGCAGGTTAGGAGAATTAGATTAAGCTGGATCCCATTTAGACTCCAAAACAAGGCCAATAATAATACCCAATGTACTTTGTTGTTCATTTTCACATACACCTTTACATTTTGGTCATTTAGCAGACACTCTTATCCAGAGTGACTTACAGTCAGTGCATTAAGGTAGATAAACAATACATCACAGTCATAGCAAGTAAAACGTTTCTGTAACAGTTACTGTTCGGGCCGCCTACTTGCACATTTATTTCTGTATTTTAAAATCCAAAATATATGTATTTTAATTAAATACATTTCAAAATACAAGTAATTTATAGTTTATTTTGATACATTGATCTTTATGGTATTTTGTAATTGTATTTCTTGCCCATCACATCATATAATGTAACAGCTTTACTCCACCAAGTAACCACCCACATTTTACACTTACACACATGAACACTATAAGTGAAATCTATACATCATTTTGATGGTTATCTGCACCATCTAGTGGTAATCAGCTGTTAAAGTATGTGTGAGGCTTTGTTAACCTTGGCCACAGCTCTATCCTCTTCTTTGATGCTTTCCTCAGGACTGGGCCGTCACCACACCACCTGGTGGCACTAGAGGAGGTTGCAATCGTTATTGCTCTTGCTCAAGGTCTTTCTTACATAGATCTTCTCTCCTTGCCGCCTTCTCAAAACGCATTGGAGGAGAATATCCTTCAGAGATTCTCGCGTTCTCATTGGGTTCTGAGACCGTGGGGAGAAAGGGCACGAGAAGAGACATTCCTTCCAGACCAACTTCATCTCTGCCATCCTGCTCCTCCCAATCAGAGACAACAAAAAAAAACACACTAACCTTGGTGTTTATTTGAATAAGTTACATTGAGAGATTTTTATTGTAATTTTTAACATCAAGGTATATCAATATGGTCTTGTAATCCGGTGCAAGGGATGAAACCAAAAACAATTCTGTGCAGCACAAAGAATCCCTCCCATCACAATAGTTCTATATAATTACTGTGTATATATATATGCATATACTTTATCACAGTTACAAAAATAAAATACGATACCGTAGATGCGCTACTATACACACACACAAGGTGAAAACAAAACACTGAAAAGCTGTACAGTCCTCATTGAGGGCAAAGATACACACGATAATGGTTTAAAAAAAGATCAAGAAAATAAAATGAAGGAAATATATAGCCTTTAAAAAAACTTGAACGCACAGCCAGTTCCAAACTGAATCTGCTTATTCTGCCGACAAACGAGACCGTTTCAAGTTGTGCTTCCCTTACAAAAATGAACGCTATAGATGGGTTTTCGGTTGGTTCAGCTTCAACAATAGTATCATTGCGCTATACTGTATCGGTCCTTTATCAGAGACATCCAGGAGGATTTCAATGAATGAAAAATAATACTGACAGAAAAAATTGAAATGTACACTTCATAGATACAAACCACAGTAGGCCAAACCACCTGTGTTGAATACAACCCCTTCCTCCTGCACAAAACACATACCAACCTCCTCCCAACCAAACCACACCCACCCACCCAACAGTGATAAAATGGGTGAAACCCTTATTGCCCTGTCTGTTACACACATACAGTTTCACATTGGATTTGCAGAAGGGAAAACCACTGAGAATGAAGTCCTCAAAATGCTGGAGAAAACCTAGACAGACCCAGAGGCCAGAACTTGGAGTGTACAGTAGTATTCAATTGCTTTAGTAGATCTGGCCTTGACCCCACTCTCTGAGGGTCTCAGGGAGAGTGGGATATGCAAAAATACACATTTCCAATTCACACATGCGTATTAATACACACTTGTACCCACCAAATGATGATGATGATGATTATTATTATTATTACTATTATTATATGCAACAGTCTATGTTGCTTTGGTAACTTGTATTGTGTATTCTTACATGTGCTGCCATTCATTCCTGGGATATGACTAGGGAAGGACAATCAACAAGGGATAGGGACTAAGGATCCCCTGACAAAGTGTAAGGGGTTGGGTACTTTGCATCTGGTTATTGATGTTAGTATCCTTAAATTAAATATGCCACCATGTTCACTTTTTATAAAATGTTCCCTTTTCTGATTGAGACAGCATTGCTAGTGTATTCCATTGTCCTCGTAATACAGTATTTGTCTGTAAGCACTGTCAGCTAAAGCTAGTCCTATCGGATTCCATGACTTATAGACAGATACACTCTATTGATGACTGACTAACGGACATTCTGATACAGTGAAAACAACTTTGCCAACGGTTGAAGAGAATAAGGCTAACTCCAATAAGCGGAAAACTCCTATAAGTTATAGCGCAATACATCAACCATTTTTTCACAAATATTTCCACGTCATTGGTAAAATACACATTGAGAATATTTTTTAAACGTTATTTCATATCATGGAAACGGTTCCAATTTTTGCTTATACGCCACTTAAAAAACAATTGAACTACACAATTGAGTATTTTGTTTCCGTAAATATTCCTCGCCAATTGATAACCATTGGCTCAAATACAGTAGATGTAATCATGAGACATACCTAAATCACACAGAGGACTTGTGTGATATAGAATGCCAACGAAACAATGTACTGTAGATCGCAAACGAACTACACCCTCGGATAGAAAATCGGGTAGATCTGCCATTGACACCACTCAGCTCTACTGTAGGCCTACACTCCTGCAAGAGGCAGAGGTGGCCAGTTTGGTGTAACTTTGGTGTCTTTATTAAATCACACTTTGAATTCTTACATACCTCACTCTCAGTTTAGGTCTGTATGAAAAGACACATCAAAGATATCCTCTCCTTAGCGCACTGATTGAGAGGGGTGAAAGTTTGCTTGACCAACCATCCCTTTGACCAAGCCCTCAACCATTACGAGACAAAAGCGAGGGGATCCGTCGGAAACATAAATCTGTTGTTTAGCATGAAATGGATATGGTCTCTCTAGGAAACTATCCATGCATGCAAACAGAAGGCTACCCTTTTCAAACAGGAATAATCGAACATATATTTAGCTTGAACGTACTTAGAAGAAGTTAATCTGATAAGATAAAACACTAAAACATGCCTGACCTACAGTGTCTAACAAAGTGTGAAACGTGACCTAAACGTGATCTAACGGACCAGATAACCGCCCAGTAATAGTAGCCTACAATATGTGACGATGAGAAAATTATGTTAGTCTAGAAGTTTCCACAAAGTACAGAGAAGGATAGTAACGGCCATTTTGAAAGACACACAGCCAATGTAAACCTAGACGAAGCCAGGAAAGACAAGGATTGAGGGACTGTAGAAGCTCCTGAAGGAAAAAAACTTCTAAGGATAAAACCGAGAAAAACTCTTTTTGGAAACAAAAGAAAAAACAACCATAGCATTTTATAGCATTGGTTTGATGGTAAATGTCCACGATGGCATTCAAAACGGCATCATTGCTTATTTTTCCATATATATTTTTCAAAAGTCTGTTTCGTTAGCACTCGTTGCCGTGACACCATGCTGTTGTTGATCTCGCCACAGCCGATTTCGTCCTCATATCTTCGTCGTAGTTAGATCTCCTTTTTAGCGGAGTAAAAGGGTGTGTTTACGGGAATGTTTGGGGGTGGCGGGAGCTGGGGATGCAAGGATTAAGATTGGTCGCCTGGGAAAACTGCTGCTGCTGATTGGCCGTTGCCATGGCAACAACCTTAGGGCAGGGGCACCAGGATATCCACGTAGTTGACGGGGAAGAATCCAGAGCTGCCGTGGATCATGCCCTCGTACCAGTTGTCGTCGATCTTGTTGGTGAGGGTGATGATGTCCCCCTCCTTGAAACCCAGCTCGCCCTCGTTCTCGGGGTCGAAGTCATACAGCGCCCTACAGGATGGCTGGTCCAGGGGAGCTGCAGAGAGAGAGAGAGAGAGAGGGAGGGATGGAGAGATGGTGAGAGAGAGAGAAAGAAAGAGGGAGGGATGGAGAGAGAGGGTGAGAGAGATGAACAGAGCGAGAGAGAGAAAGAGATTGAGCGGTGGACCGATGGAAAGGGATAGATGGAGAGAAGAGAAAGCAGAGTTAAAATGTGTGGCTGGAGAGGTGTATGGTATAGATAGAAAGATGGTGGTGAATCCTAACTTCCACAAGGTCAAATGTTCACTTAGACTCCAATTGACATCAATGGATGAGTGAAAATGAAGTTAATTCAACTAAGTGAAAATTCGACTTAAATAGAAGTTAGGATTATTCCCATAGTTAAAAAAAGATGTAAGAGTATCTCCGGAGTAAAGAGCTTACCTGGAGACCTTGCTGAAAGGGGGGATGGAGGGAGACAGGGAAGAACAAGAGAGGGAGGGGGAGACAAGGCAAAGAAAAGAGAAAGGCATAAAAATGAATGTGTATTTCGGTGATCGATTGATAGACATATTGAACAGACAGTAGTGTTGTCACGATACCAGAATTCGATACCAGGTTTAGTACTGTATCATGATACTCGATACCATCACGATACTCGATACCAAAACGATACCAAAATGATACCATGGCAAAAACAAGAAGGCATATTAGCCAAAGCCACAGAATGACACTTGATCCAGACTGATCAACTCAGCTACTGCTCTGTTCAATCGTTGGGCATCTTTTGAGTTCAATATCATTACATTTGAATTGTTTTAAGTCAACCTTTTCCAGAGACATCCATGTATACATTAATGAATCAATTATACAATCAACTTGACTTTGTTTTTATCAATCTATCTATATACACATAATAACATAATGGTAATAATTTATTTGAAATGGTAAATCTCTATTGATAAACTGGGTAAATCAAGATATAGCCTAGGCCTACTCACAATACAGGTGAATGCATATTCAATAGGAGTGTGTGCATGCATTGAGTTATTGAGCTTGTTTGGCTGAAAAACAATATGTTCCCCTTCCATTTGGGACTTGTTTTATTGTACTGATCAACAACATTTCTATAGAAGTAGCTTCTTTTATAAAATGTGCGCTCTCTCTTTAACCAGTAATGATGTCATTCACGAGGCAAAAGAGAGGGGCAGCATATCAGAGCACAGTCCGTTAGGGATGCGAAGTTCAGCTCATTTTACTGACTGATCTTTTCGACTCATTCAGTCAAAATGTTGAATCTTTTGACACATTTAGTTCATTTGAGCATGCAGGACGCCCTACCGGCGAACGATGAACTGAAAACTCCCAGTGCAGGCTGGCAATGAGTAAGTGGAGCAGGCACGGTGCGCGCTAGAATAAGGGGTCGGCTGTGCTGATAGACGTGCTTGATCCGTGAGACACATTTGACAAAAGTACCAAAAGTAACAGAAATTCTAGTACCGAACCGTTTTTCATGTTCTAGTATCAAAAAAGTATCAAAGTTTTGGTATATCGTGCAACACTAACAGACAGAAAGACAGACAGAAACAAAGGGAGACTAGGGAAATCAGAGGAGAGAAAGGTGTCAAAATGTTGGTTTGTGTTGTCAATTGATTGATAAACATATCGAAAAGACAAACGCGCAGACAGAAAGGCAGACCGACAGAAAGGCAGACCGACAGAAACAAAGACTGGAAAAATGACATAAACTTGGAATAAAAACAAAGACAGAGACCGGAGAGAAATCAGGAAACAGACTGGAGCCAGAAAGACAGTCCAAGAAAGAGGGAGAGACTGACAGAAAGAAAAGCGTAGAGACAGACAGTTCATATAGACAAACAGACAGTTCATATAGACACACAGACAGTTCATATAGACACACAGACAGTTCATATAGACACACAGACAGTTCATATAGACACACAGACAGAGTGATACAGCAGAGATATTCTATCGTATCTCTCCAGGATTCACTCTAGGCTCACCTGGAGACCTTGCTGCAAAGAGGAAGAGAGAGAGAGAGAGAGAGAGAGAGAGAGAGAGAGAGAGAGAGAGAGAGAGAGAGAGAGGGAGCACATGTGGGAGAAAGAGAAGAATAGAGGTATTTATGTTTAACTGCAATTGATATAGTTGGATAAAGGGATGGATGGATGGGTGGATTATGGCAATGAAGAGATGGCTTGGACAATCACCAGACAGATGGACGGAGAGACGGACAGACAGAAAGACAGACAGAGGGACAAACAGTGATAGAGTGACAGAAATAGACAGAGTGACAGAGAGATATTTTAGTATCTCTCCAGGATTCGCTCTTGGTTTACCTGGAGACCTTGCTGCAAAGAGGAGAGGAATTAAAAAGCAAAAGGAAGAAGAAGCAAGCAATAGAGGTAGAATAAATACATGTGATTTATAGCATTTGGGAAGTGGATGGATGGAGAAATGGAGTGTTGGAGAAATGAAGCTATGGAGAGATGAAGAGAATGAGAAATGAAGAGATGGAAAGATGAAGGTGATTAGCCAGCCAGACAGCGATAGATGGACAGGCGAACGGACAGATGACTTAGCTCACCTGGAGACCTTGCTGCTGGATGGAAAAACAGAACCAAAAAGAAGAAAGAGTAGACAGGTCTTTATTTTCACTTGCCTGATAGGAGGATGGATGGAGAGATGGAGAGATTGATAGACGATGGGACGACACACAGAGAGACAAAGAGACAGAAATAGACATAAGGAAAAGAGAAAGAAAAGAGAGAGAAATTGATAGTGATGGAGGGAGAGGGAGAGAGAGAGACGGATGGATAGTATTTGTATTTATTATGGATCCCCATTAGTTCCTGCCAAGGCAGCAGCTACTCTTCCTGGGGTCCAGCAACATAAGACAGTTACATACAGTTTAAAATACTACATGGCATTACATTTCATAACACTTAGTGATGTAGAGAGCGAGAGAGAGAGACAGAGAGAGAGAGAGAGAGAGAGAGAGAGAGAGAGAGAAAGAGAGAGAGGGATGTCTGGTTTAATGGTAGGAGTGGAGTCTCACCTGGGGACCTGGATCCTTGGATGGCTCCATTGTGGTTCTCACTAGAGAGGTCCAGGGACTGACGCGGCTTAGGTATGAACTCTTTCTTGGGCTTGTTGGAGGAATCCCTTATCCTATGGATAATACATTGCAGAAACAAGCCCATATAGTAAAGAGGGTACTGATCCCAATTCCCCACCACCCCTCTGTGTCGCTCATTGAAAGAATGAATAGAATCTATTCATTCTATTTCTACGGCATACTTAAGGGTTGGGGTCAAGGGTTATTGGGATCAATTCCATCTCACTTCTGGCGAATTCAGAGAATTCAGGAAAGGAATAATCTGGCATTTCAATTCTTGATCCGAAGATGATTGGCATGGTATGGTATTGTCCCCCTACTCTCTACTAGGGTTGCGAAAACTCCAGAAACTTTCCCAACATCCACAGGTTTTTCTCCAGCCAGGATTTCAAAATAAAAAACCTGGGAACTTTGGGTTAAATTTGGTAATTTCGCAAAAATACTCCCTACTCTGCACCTCCATCCGGTACTGACCGGTCATGGAGACAGACACACTGATTATAATGATATATAATGATATATATATTATTATAAATACTGACCGGTCCTCCATCTTGGACTGCAGCTGGGTGAGGATCTCGGCACACTGCCGATGGTACTCCACCTGGGCTTGGACCAGTGCGGCTAGCTGGCTCACCTGTTCAATCTGCTGACGCAAACACAAAAGGCCCAACGGGACGACTGTTACATATGGGCGGCGTGGCCGAAGTCCCACAGTATACATCCGGACTCACTGGTCTGGCTAAGATACAGAAACTACAGTACGATACTGCAAGGTCAACACAGAACACAGCCACCTTTTCTGGCTAACTTACAGATACTAGGATATGATAACACAAGGTCAAGAAAGACTGGATGGATCGATAGATGGGTGGAGAAAGCCATTATAGAACGTAGAGCTCAACTGTTATTCAAATTATTTATCCATTTATAGAAGTATTATTAATCTGATTTCTGAGGCTCTAGGTTCCCTGATGCTGCCTTGATGAGAACCTCCAGTCCACACAATACAAGGTTACATGCAGACAGTGAGTCAAAGTCAGCCTGTGATGGTCTTCCACTGACAAGAGCTTTGGATCACGACCCCCTCCGTTGCCGTGGTTGCAGCTGGCCAGAGGGGGAAGTGACTTGGACTAGAGACAGGGAAGGAGAGAAGAGGACAGAGACTAGATAATAGACAGACAGTTCGCTGAGAAAAAATACAACTATTGAACATCAAACTTGTACATGTGCTCAGTGGTGGACAGAAGACGCAGTGTAAAGACATGACTACTATTGCTATTACTGTTACTACTGCTACTACTACTAATACAACTACTACTACTGCTATTGCTGCTACTACTACTACTACTGCGGCTACTACTACTACTACTACTACTACTGCTACTACGGCTACTACTACTACTACTACTACTACTACTACGGCTACTACTGCTACTGCTACTACTACGGCTACTACTACTACTACTACCGGCTACTACTACTACTACTACTACTACTACTACTACTACTACTACTACTACTGCTACTACTACTACTACTACTGCTACTACTAGGAATAGAGGTATTTAGTGCTTTGACCCACAGGTAGACAGTATACTTCCATTTACTAACTAGTTCACCACTTCACACTGAACCTACAGTACAGGAGGAAAAACATGGTGCTCATGTGTCAATGGTGGGTCATAACACACACACACACACACACACACACACACACACACACACCGTGTGAGAAGGAAGAGTAGGAAGAACGGTAGAAACACACTGCATGGGAAGGAGGAGGAACGGTAGAAACATATTCCTTACATCACTCTCCAACAGGTTGAACATGCTGAGCTCAGCGATCTCCTTGGTATCGTCAAACTTCTCCAGAGCCTGTTTGATCTCGTCGTCCGTCACCTTGCCCTGACGCTTCTTCTTGTAGTCGAAGTCCAGGCGGCGGCCTTCCAGTTTCTTCAGGTGATGCTGCGAGGAGAGGAAGGAAAAAGATGGAAGGAAGGAAAGAAAGAAGGAAAGAAAGGATGTCAAGAGTGACAGGTTAGATAGGGATCACTCCAAATGGTTAGATAGGGATCACTCCAAATGGTTAGATAGGGATCACTCCAAATGGTTAGATAGGGATCACTCCAAATGGTTAGATAGGGATCACTCCAAATTGTTTGATAGGAATCACTCCAAATGGTTAGATAGGGATCACTCCAAATGGTTAGATAGGGATCACTCCAAATGGTTAGATAGGGATCACTCCAAATGGTTAGATAGGGATCACTCCAAATGGTTAGATAGGGATCACTCCAAATGGTTAGATAGGGATCACTCCAAATGGTTAGACAGGGATCACTCCAAATGGTTAGACACCCTTTTCACACTATCGCGCCAACCCGAACCGTACTGTGCTGGTACAGCTCAGCTTGACTCAGTTCTGCTCAGGGGTGTGAGTCAACTCATGGCCTAGTCCTGAAACAAACCCCAACCTAGGATCCGACAGGCTTATGCCAGCAACATAATCAGAAGTGAAGGTTGTGCCTTATCAGACACCTTCAGGCAATGATTATTCAGAGTTAATTATAAACTTTTAGTATGCCAGAGTTGATTTTTCCTCTGCCCTTAGGACAAAAAAGTCCAAATGAAGCTCTCCGAGCATCTGAACTTTATTAGCTGAGTATTGATTCTGTGGTCTGGCAGGGAGACGGATGTAATTGCATTGGGCAACTCCAACCAGAGAGTAGAGTAAATACGCTACCTATCCCTCCAGGGCAGTAAACATTGACTGAGCGCTAGGAGTTATCCCCCTGATGTCAATGTCTAATTGAAGTGATCGTTACTCCACTTATTTATGTGCATATAAAGATGCAAACGTTTGGCCATTACCGTTACATTTTTTTATTAACGTTTTCCTGGTCTGCTTTCGACGTGACTAGGATTTGAGCTGTATGTTGTAATGTATGCAATGACTTCCAATATGTCTAATTAACGACATAGAAGAATGACGGTACATCGGTCCCGCAACATGTTTTCGTGATGTCTGTCTTGCTATGTTGTTATTATGATTGTGTTGTGTCTAGCTTGCTATGCTGTTATTGTGTTGTGTCTGTTTTGCTGTTGTATTATTATGTCTGTCTTGTGATGTCATGCGAGCACACTGTCTGTGTTATCCTTGTATTTTGTATGTAGGCCTTTTTTTATATGCAGCAGCAGTAAGGACTCACTCAAAAAAAGGGACCTGGGTCAGGGGGGTGAAAGTAAGATTTAACTTTCTTACCCAGTACGGACACTCCAAGTGCCCGTGAACAACATTTTTTTTTATACTACAAAAATTACAGGGTAGCCTATACTCTGCTGACACTGACAAACAGATCAATAAAAACGATGTTGTCTGATCCATCTAATCGGCCTACGAGAAAGGGAGACACAAATACAATATGATGTCCATCTAACCTGGAGGAGGAAATTATTGTCCAAAAACAAACAATAGTGGCACTGACCCAATGACAAAGACAGTGAATATGCACACTCACCGGGGATATGGCCAATGTTCTCTGCTAGTGGCAATATGATAGGCTACTGTTCGCTCAATTAAGTGAAGAATTTTGATAACAAAAAAAAAGATTCATGTATTTTCATTGTCATCTCTTTACAGCAATAGCCATTTGCTTTCCAAACAGTTTTTCCGTGATTGTATTTTTAAATATTGCGGTATACCTGGCTGGGTCTCTCTGCTTTTCACTGACAGTCGCAACTCAACAATCATCTATTTGGTATTTGCCCAAATTGCGGGCCCTTCCGACTGTGGGCTATGCGATTTTTAAAACAATCCACAGCTTTTTGATTTTATTTAGCTACTTAAAATGTACTTTAGGGAAAGCTTCCCCTCGCCTTATGGGACACACCACCTACAGTGAGGGAAAAAAGTATTTGATCCCCTGCTGATTTTGTACGTTTGCCCACTGACAAAGACATGATCAGTCTATAATTTTAATGGTAGGTTTATTTGAACAGTGAGAGACAGAATAACAACAACAAAAATCCAGAAAAACGCATGTCAATAATGTTATAAATTGATTTGCATTTTAATGAGGGAAATAAGTATTTGACCCCTCTGCAAAACATGACTTAGTACTTGGTGGCAAAACCCTTGTTGGCAATCACAGAGGTCAGACGTTTCTTGTAGTTGGCCACCAGGTTTGCACACATCTCAGGAGGGATTTTGTTCCACTCCTCTTTGCAGATTTTCTCCAAGTCATTAAGGTTTCAAGGCTGACGTTTGGCAACTCGAACCTTCAGCTCCCTCTACAGATTTTCTATGGGATTAAGGTCTGGAGACTGGCTAGGCCACTCCAGGACCTTAATGTGCTTCTTCTTGAGCCACTCCTTTGTTGCCTTGGCCGTGTGTTTTGGGTCATTGTCATGCTGTAATGCCCATCCACGACCCATTTTCAATGCCCTGGCTAAGGGAAGGAGGTTCTCACCCAAGATTTGACGGTACATGGCCCCGTCCATCGTCCCTTTGATGCGGTGAAGTTGTCCTGTCCCCTTAGCAGAAAAACACCCCCAAAGCATAATGTTTCCACCTCCATGTTTGACGGTGGGGATGGTGTTCTTGGGCAGCATTCCTCCTCCTCCAAACACGGCGAGTTGAGTTGATGCCAAAGAGCTCCATTTTGGTCTCATCTGACCACACCACTTTCACCCAGTTCTCCTCTGAATCATTCAGATGTTCATTGGCAAACTTCAGACGGACATGTATATGTGCTTTCTTGAGCAGGGGGACCTTGCGGGCACTGCAGGATTTCAGTCCTTCACGGCGTAGTGTGTTACCAATTGTTTTCTTGGTGACTATGGTCCCAGCTGCCTTGAGATCATTGACAAGATCCTCCTGTGTAATTCTGGGCTGATTCCTCACCGTTCTCATGATCATTGCAACTCCACGAAGTGAGATCTTGCATGGAGCCCCAGGCCGAGGGAGATTGACAGTTATTTTGTGTTTCTTCCATTTGCGAATAATCGCACCAACTGTTGTCACCTTTCCACCAAGCTGCTTGCCGATGGTCTTGTAGCCCATTCCAGCCTTGTGTAGGTCTACAATCTTGTCCCTGACATCCTTGGAGAGCTTTTTGGTCTTGGCCATGGTGGAGAGTTTGGAATCTGATTGATTGATTGCTTCTGTGGACAGGTGTCTTTTATACAGGTAACAAGCTGAGATTAGGAGCACTCCCTTTAAGAGTGTGCTCCTAATCTCAGCTCGTTACCTGTATAAAAGACACCTGGGAGCCAGAAATCTTTCTGATTAAGAGGAGGTCAAATACTTATTTCCCTCATTAAAATGCAAATCAATTTATAACATTTTTGACATGCATTTTTCTGGATTTTTTTGTTGTTATTCTGTCTCTCACTGTTCAAATAAACCTACCATTAAAATTATAGACTGATCATTTCTTTGTCAGTGGGCAAACGTACAAAATCAGCAGGGGATCAAATACTTGTTTCCCTCACTATATGCCTTTTAATTGTGGCATAAACACAACCAATCATGATGTTTTCATCTGACTGTCAAACAACCACTTAACAAAGGCGCTCCTGTAGGCTACCCGCGCACATTCGTCCACTCAGAAGATAATTCCAGCATCCAAACCCCAACAGTGCACTTTGCATCCGCAATTTGATGAATGGAACGAGACATCTGCTACAGAACACCTACACGTATTGTAATTACATTCTGTGATTGTCATTAGGCCTACACTTGTAGCCTGAATTGATGCATCTACTGTTGTCCACACGCGCCTCGGCCACTCATCTCCGCCTTGACAAAATGTAAATGTTCTCCTCAAACCACAACGCAATTTGGAGCATATACCACCTGGTTTCCAGTCATTTCACTAATGTTTCATGTGGCTGACATGGAGTAATGTTAAATCATTGTGTAATAGCCTATAGTTTTTTGGGCATGTTGTATTAATTGTGATAGGCTCACATTTTACCGGTAAACCGTACCCCCACTATTTATTTTGCCGGTAAGGCGTACCGGACCGCCTTACTTTCACCCCTGTCTGGGTCTCAATGCTACATAAAATATAAAATAAAATGAATAAATCCGGTCTTACCGCAATCTCCTTGAGGTCTTTGTCGTGGAGGGTCTGCAGCGGGTCCAGGAAGTTCTGCTTGACCTCCATGTCTAGAGCGTCCTTCACCTCCCCCAGCTCACGCATGGACTCCCCAGCATCGATCAGAGCCAGGCCTGGAACAGACAGGGGCATAATATAACAACATGAACTCCTAATATAACAACATCGTCAATGTTGTGTATGAGTGCTAAGCTAGCTCGGTCCAATGTCTGTTTGGTCATAAGAGCTGGCAAGACAGCACAAAAAAATCTGGGGGCAGGCTAGCGACCAGCACCATTATAAATAGACAATGGCTGTGATCGAAATCTGTCTTGCCTACTACTTACTAAAACTACATACTGGGTGCTAATAGTACTACTACTATTTAGAATGTACTGTTTAGTAAAAAGGTATGTAGTAAGCAACAAATATCAACATACTACTCATCCATACTGAGGAGTTATCTAATGCGCATTCGATCTTGTTCGCTGCCATTCGTTCATTTTTGTAGAGCGAGTGCCCTATTCTGATTATGAGCTGTTGTCAAACACACGGGTGAAAAGATGATTCTCTTCAATAGTGTGCAGCGAATTCTACTAGATGAAAAGACTAAAAGAGTATAAAATCCTGGCATTTAAACCATACAACATTTTCGAAATTTCACATGCAATAAAACGTTATATTTCGGCATACCCATAAGCCTCCTATTTAGAACGCAAGTACGGGTATTCTGACACAGCCATTGTGACTTACCAAAGTTGGACTCTTCCCCGAGCTCCCTGCCAAACTTCTGCATGGACTCTCCCAGGATGGTCTCTGTCTGGATATAGCCCAGACCCTTTTCCTGGCCACGTATCTTAGACATGGAGTTGATCATGGTCATCTTGGCTCTGGAGGCTGTACACGCAAACAATGAATGAATGAATGAATCAATAAATCAATCACTCAATCACCCAATCAATTAATCAATCAAACTTGCCGTACAAGTTATTTTTTTTTTAAATGCGCTTGATTATGATGTATTGTCATGTGTATAATTGATTAAATTAAATAAAAATCTATAAAAAGGGTTGACCAAAACACTGTGTGATTGAGTAAAATGTATTCTAATGTAATGTTTTGGTTGTGGATTTGGTCCATGACAACTAACTCATCCGATACTGAGGGTTTATCTAATGCGCAATTCGATCTGGTGTTCGCGCCATTCGTTCCTTTTTGTAGAGGAGTGCCCTATTCTGATATGGAGCTGTTGTAAACACACGGGTGAAAAGATGATTCTCTCAATAGTGGAAAGAACGAATTTAACTAGATGAAAAACTAAAAGAGTATAAATCCTGGCCATTTAAACCATACAACATTTCGAAATTTCACACAATAAAACTTAATTTCGGCATACCCAAACCTCCTATTTAGAACAGCAAGTGGGTTATTCTTGAACAGCCATTGGACTTACCAAAGAGTGGACTCTTCCCCGAGCTTCCTGCCAAATTCTGATGGACTCCTTCCAGGATGGTCTCTGTCTGGATATAGCCAGCCCTTTGCATGGCCAAGTATCTTAGACATGGAGTTGATCATGTCATCTTGGCCTGGAGGCTGTAACGAACACAATGATGAAGAATGATCAATAATCAATCACTCATCACCCATCATTAACAATCAACTTGCCGTACAAGTTATTTTTTTTTTAAATGCGCTTGATTAGAATGTAGTTTCATGTGTATAATGATTAATTAAACAAACATCTATAAAAGGGTGACAAAACACTGTTGTGGATGAGTAAAATGTTACTAAAATGGTAATGTTTTTGGTTGGGTGGATGTGGTCGCTAGGAAATGATGGTCTGGTGTCCAAATGGCACCGCTTTACCTATATAGTGGCCTGACTTTGGACCAGGTTCCATAGGGCTCTGGTCAAAAGAGGTGCACTCATAGGGGTAGGGTGCCATCTGAGACCAGACATGGGTATGTACTCTCACCTGGTTGGGCTGATTACTCTAGTGGGCTTGGTAGAATGTCCAACACGCCCTGGATGACTGGGGGTGTCCACCTTCTGTGAGAACACACGATAGCTGGATAGAAGGAGGGGAGAGTGTGGGAGGGAGAGAGGGACGTGTGGTAGAGGAGGTTTATCGAGTTAGGGAAAAGATGGAGAGAATGAGAGAAAACACTGGAGGAGGAGGAGGGCATTGGTTCCTTTGAGGCTGTCATGTTGTACAACATGCCTGGATAGAACATGGAGGGGCTTTACTCTGTAGTGTGGTGGTGGAGGGAGAGACACCATGCCTGGATAGAACATGGAGGGGATTTACTCTGTAGTGTGGTGGTGGAGGGAGAGACACCATGCCTGGATAGAACATGGAGGGGATTTACTCTGTAGTGTGGTGGTGGAGGGAGAGACAACATGCCTGGATAGAACATGGAGGGGCTTTACTCTGTAGTGTGGTGGTGGAGGGAGAGACAACATGCCTGGATAGAACATGGAGGGGCTTTACTCTGTAGTGTGGTGGTGGAGGGAGAGACAACATGCCTGGATAGAACATGGAGGGGCTTTACTCTGTAGTGTGGTGGTGGAGGGAGAGACAACATGCCTGGATAGAACATGGAGGGGCTTTACTCTGTAGTGTGGTGGTGGAGGGAGAGACAACATGCCTGGATAGAACATGGAGGGGCTTTACTCTGTAGTGTGGTGGTGGAGGGAGAGACACCATGCAAAGCTGACAGCTGGTGAAGATTGCTTTTGTATTCCCACTTGATGCTGGTCAGATATGCCAGCTCTCTGCCTTCTTCAACACAGACGTCACAGTCCTATACACCAGAGCCATATATTTAAATAGATGACTCTGCTATACACTACTCAGCCTCCCCAGCTGTCTAGAATAAGACCCTACACTACAGAATTATGGATGGATGGCTATGACATGGTCTCAACGCACACTTAAATTCCCCTCTTTCTAGAAGCAATTTCTTAGGAGTTTTTCTAAGGCATTTAAATTGAGAAACACTTCTCTCTATTATAGAAAATGCACAGCACAATGTCATACAATAGAACTAGGGGGATAACCCCTTGGAGTGAATAGAGAATGGAGCGGTGAGGATATAGTTTCTAACACAACTGAACA